CAGGAAGGTACAAGCAATTTTAGGAATATGTTTCCTGAAGTTCAGAAGAGGTCAGAAAGCCCAGAGAAAAGACCATGCTGAATAGTTTTGCCATTGAGAAATGTGAAGAGGGCTTCCCAAATCTGAACTTTCCATGATGATTTCTCCCAGTGACTGCCCTGGGAATGCAAAGCCATAAGGTAGCACAACCCCATGTCTACCCTATGCCAAAGTTTTGAGGCAGGGGTGGTCCCAGCCTGCCCTGTGCAAACACCTTCCTCTTCTCTGCAGTTCTGACCTTTGACAGACTTCCTTCCATGCAGGAAGCAACAGCTCAGTCTTTAGAGCCGTTTACAGCCTGAGCAATGAACATCTTCCAGGAACAAAAGGATCCAAGGCCAGGATGCAGACTCAGGCACGCCTCGGGCTGCATTGGGCTAGGTGGGTCAAGGTCTTCTCCACCTCACCATATGCCTTGAATCCCCAGTGCTGGGAGACCCAGAAGCACACTGCTCCAACCCCCACACTGGCATGGATGCATGCAAGGCTGTGTGGTGAATGAGTGATGCGTGTATCATGCAGGGGTGTGATTTTTCCAGCCAGACCCACTCCATAGCACACCTTGGGATCTGCAAAATGGGGTGTGAGCACCCAGCAGGAACATGCTTTCTCTGAGTCAGCAGGTTGCCCACCCACCACCTCTGTCCCCTGCCCTGGAAGGGAGGCTCCCGTGGTCAGAGTGAGATGATACCCTGCATCCCCCCACACCTGGGCGAATGCAGCAGGTCTGTGCTAATACCCACCCTCGAACTCTGAGCGCCAAGGGGGTGATTTATTTATTTACCTGTTGTAAATGTCATCATCTTCACCACCCCAGCCCCAGTAATTGTTTGGGAATCCGTTGATCTTTGTGAACTGCTCTTTGCTCAAGGCAGAAACACCTCCGAAATACTGATTGTAAGGCAACCTGGAAGCAGGGAGAAAAGACCATTAGAGGATGAGGGGTGCTAGCCAAGGAACAGCCACCTGAAAAGGGCTTGCCGCTGCCCTTCACCCCAGCCCACAGTGAGCCAGCACCTGCAGCAAGGTGCCTCCATGCACCAGGGAGCAGCATGTGTTTTGGTGCCCAGGACTCACCCAAGGCAGAGGGAGCTGGTGCGCTCAGTTCCAAAGACAGCTGGGAAGCACTTTGCAATGTCCGGCAGCTGCAGCCTTTCACTAAGTATGATGTCAAAGGACAGGCCAGTGAGATGCACATCACCTCGCCAACGGACAGATGGGTGACGTGCATGCCTCGGGAGCGACAAGAGCTCAGCGAGGCATTGGAGGTGCTGCAACGCCTTCTCTTCCTGCAGCTCTGCTGCTCACCTCCATGCTCCCCAGTGGCCCAAAGGAAAGGTGGCAGCCCAAAACTGAGCTGGCAGCATGACCTTGCATGCACAAAGCCAATCCACTCCCACTTAAAATAGGGGACAATTCACCAGGGGATTGGGAACAGACAAAACTCAGACACACAGCACCAGGAGAGGGGCCCTGCAGGGACCACCAGGGCCTACCGCACGCCTTATCTTTGCTTCAGCCAGCGTAAGAAACCCCTGGGGCCTGCATTTCTCCTTTAAGCTTCAACTAGCTGCAAGAAAACGACTGCAGCTGCTGCAGTGCTGGTGACAGTCCTGCTCTGACCAGGGCTTGGGTCTGCAGCGGAGATGTGCAGTGCTCCAGCCACCAACACCACTGCTGTATCTTTATCTCTAGCACTACTGGCCACCATGGGGTCGTGACCAGTTTTCACTTTACAGATGAGCTTTTAAATTCCTCCTTGGGGATTAGGGATAGAAAAGAAAAAAAAAAAAAAAAAAAAGAAACAAAGGAAAAGTAAGACACATTTTGCAGCAGCTTGCTGAACCCAAAGGTAGGCTGAAAGGTATTTCATTTTGTCTTGCTCTCATCTACCAGGGCAGGTCCCTCAGTGGACCAAAATCAAACAGCCAAAAATATTTCGTTTTGCTCTTAAAATAGCATCTGATGTAGTCTTTTTAAAGCTGCACATAATTCTCACTGTGTGAGAGTGTCTCACTTTTCAGACTGGGTGGAAACACTAGCTGTCTTCCAGCTTCCAGCCTGAAACACAAGAAGGGATACGCGGGCATCTGCAAAACGACGGGCTCTTAGTTTTTCCTCACCCTACGTTTCACTTTCCAGGACCTGTGAATTTTAATATACTGCTCAGCTGTGTTTCTCCCCCTTCCTCCCCTCCAGCCGCTCCTGCTCGCAGCCACCCGCTCCCTGCAGGGATGCGCACGCCAAGACAGGCTTTTGCCAGAGACATTTTCCCAGGCTTTCAATGGTGGGTGGGGATGTGTAACACTGCGCCTGGCCTGCTAACGGCAAACGGCAATATTAGGAACAAAACGCCCCTCAAAAAAGCGTCTCACCGAAATCCGAATTTATCCATGGATACAGAGAGGTGCCGTGGCTGGCTGTAACATTTGTAGGTGTTCCTGTCATCCATTGGGATAAGGTCTACGTCACTAAACACAAAGCAATCATAGTCATACTCTTTCAAAGCCTCTGCGAATCCTATATTCAGCAGTTTAGCACGGTTAAATTCTTCTTCTCCGTCCTAATTTAAAAACAAATAAAAAACAGTTAAGTGACTTAAATTTAACAGTTGGCAACAGCAGTTTCTTACCTGTCGCCAGACTGTGGTGTCGCTGCTCTGGGTTGGTGTGCCTGTGATGGACTGAGCTCGAGCCCAAGCACTTCCCCCCCACCGCCCCGGGGACATCTGCATCAAGGCCCCCTCGGAATGCCGCCTGCAGGACAACTGCATCTGAGCCAGCTGCAAAACATGGGGCCAGCCAAAACGGCTGAGGAAAGGCTGGACCCGGCTCAGCTCCCCTCTCTTCGTGGGAGGCTCCAAGAGGGCAGGTTTGATGCCGAGTGGACATCACCCCACCCCACTCCTTCCATTCCACCCCACGCACAGGCATTTTGGGATTCAATTTCATGACAAAATTTATGAACTGCTGGGGAAAGCAGCTGGGACTTCCCAGAGCAGTGGAGAAAAGCAAAAAGAGCTGAGCTCCTCTAGAACAAGGGACCCTGGCTACAGAGAGAAACCTTGGTGGTGCTTTAGCTTACAGCCAGGACAAGGACCATGGACCAAAACCCTTCTGCAGCCAGGATTTCAGCACCCTCTTCTTAAGCTCTGCCACAACACGGCCGCAGGACCATGGCACAGCCTCTGCTCAGCAGCACGCGTGAGCAGGTGCCAGACCCGACTCACAAAACATGGGGTGGCACCAGGAGCTAAGGTCTGCCGCTCCGCCGCCTGCTCCGGCTCCCACACCAAGCCCTGGCAAGATGCTCCCCGGGCCCTGGAAAAAGTGCTGCTGGTTTGGCACGTGGCTGTGACACACATAGAGCCTTCTTTACTGGATGGCAGGCCAGTGCAAGATGCTTCCCACAAGAGCTATGGCTCATGTGCCAGATGCCGCTGTCTGCTGCGGTGCACAGCCCCTTCTCTGCTGCTCCTCCACCAGCCAGAGCATGGAAGGACACACCATCTGTCCCAGGGGCCTTGCCAGGAAAACAAAACCAGGAGGGCTGTCACCATGATGAGAAGGAGCCAAAAAGAGCTGACACAGCAGCAGGGCATGTTTATCCCAGGGCAGGCGCAGTTAACGAAGGGACCTGCAGAGAGCGGGGCAGGAAACCCTCCACGCTCCTCCTCAAGCAATGAGGTGCCTGAGGATAAATCAGTTTGGCCTCTCTCAGGCAGGAATGTTTCAAAAGCACATGTGGCTTTGAGCACAAGTACAGACTCGCAAATTGCTCGAGTACTTTCGAAAAACAGCAGGATCATACCCATGAACCCAAGAATACCAGTGGTTTCCAACCCAGGACCCAGCTTTGCAGCGGCAGCAGCTTCAAACCCAAACCCTGTGCAGGGGAACAGAGCAGGCGGAAGGGAACTCACAGGGCACCACTGAAGGAGGCTGAAGTTTTTTGCCAGCCTGGAAACCAAGACTGCCGAATCCTTTCTCTTCTATCACATCCTACCTTTCCCTCTCCACACCCTCGGAGCAGTGTGGAGTCAAAGGACTCCCCCACTGTGCAAGCCATCCCCCCACCCTGCGGTACCTGCATGTGGGACACAAATCAAGGACAGGTAAAATACTGTGCCCAAGGAGCAGCAGCTTAAAACATCACCTTCTCCCAAATGGCTTTGCTTGATTAATCAATAATCAGTTTGGAAAATGTTTAAACCAGACTCATTAATGGACCTGCAGCTGGAAAGCCAAGGCAGGTTTCTTGAAACAGTCGCAAATATCTTTCAAATGAAGGTTTTAACATGCAAGTGTCAAACCAAGGTTTGCAAAAGCATTCCTCACCTGCCTCAGGCGTAAATGACTTCACAGGGAGGAGTGAACTTTCGCGGAGGAGGATCTGAGCAAATTCTCAGCATCCTCAGCCGAAACAAAAGGGTTCACACAATAACTAAGGTGGTGGGAAGATGATCACAATCATGCATAAGCAAGAGCAGTAAAAACCTGAGTGCAGAAAATGAAGGCAAGTTGAACAAAGAGGCTGAGGAGAGGGAGCAGCTGAGGCCACGGGATCAGAGGGTCTTCTGCCCCAGCGAGGGGTGCTGCCCAGCCCCAGCTGTTGAGCGCTCCTCAGGTCCCACGGCACCAAACCCGCGCCTGGCTCCATAGTCCCAAGAGGGACTCTTCCCAGTGCTGGTGCAAAGTGCAACGTGCTCACACCTCTAAGCACCTGGTGGGTCCAGTTTAGGAGAGTGTCTTCATTTCACACCCTTTGGCTGCTCTTTTCATAATGAAATTTCAAGAAGGACACTTCACACCGGAGGCTCAGCTGTCATTAACCCACGCCTTCGGGTCACCTCTAACTCCCCTGGGTGACACTTTGGGATTAACAATGCTAATGTGTTTTCAAACCTCTCTCTGAAAAAAAAAACAAAGCACAGCAGACCAAGAGCACACGGGACCCCTACTACCACCTCACCCACTGGACCCTGGCAGAGCCCATGCCAGGGTCCTGCACGTGGAAAGAGACTGAACACCTCTCGTGGGCACTTCTGCTCTCCTCCCAAGTAGCCACACAGCTTCACACTGTGGGATCCAAAAGGCTGGGGGGAGGGGGGCGGAAATCATAACCGAAAACCAAAACCAAAAACCCCTCTCCAAGCCGTTTTTTAGTAACTTTACAGTGAGCAGGTAGCTCATGCAGCAAACCTTGCAATGCCGTTATCAATTGCGACTCCTTTGAGGGCAGAATGCTGTTTTTCTGTCCAAGGAGGTATGTGGGGCTTTACAGCATTTATCAGAGCAAAAAAAGACTCACAAGAGGCTTTGCTTTTTTGCAGAAAGCTGTTTCTTTACCTAAGGCAATGTGGAACCACTGGTATCCTTGCAGTATCTGAGATTCAAATCTCTCAAAATTCAGAAATGTGCTGCAGGCTTCCATCTTTGACTGATCCCCAACTTTTTGAAAGAAAAAAAAAAAAAAAAAGGGGAGCTGGGAAATCTCCTTTCTATGCTGCCATCCCTTCCAGGTCTGCACAGGGCACAATACAACAGGCAACCCTCAAGAGAGCAGATAAAGCAGAATTGAAGAAACCTCCAACCCTCACCTCTGCTTGGCAGCTCCTCATCCCATGGAGGCTCCCTGTTATTTGCCACATGGAAATGGATCAGTTTGGACTTGCTTGGACAGAGGAGCATCATCCTGAAGAGCTAGGCAATGCACAGGGGACTGCTGCTTTGACAACGCAGCCAAGCTCTAGACATAGCCTTCACGCTTATCTCCTAGGCTTTCAACCAGAAAAGATGTAGTCCAAGCGTGTTTTTGCTAATTTTTTTTCCTGACAATTTTTTCCCTATGTTCTTTTGTCCTGAAACTTAACCCATGTCTGAGTTCAGTGCTAGCACCCAGCACCTGTTTCTGGCTCCTGATTTTACTCCCTATGTATCTCCAAGTCTATCCCCATTCCCTGGCCCACCGGAGTCTGGCTGAAGGGGGACAGCCTGCTGCCTCAGTCCTGCAGGGTCTGACGCCGACTCCTTCCCACACCTGGAGATGATCAGCCAAAGCAAAAGAACATCCAGGCTTTTTTACTTCCCATCCTTTACCTTTGCTGAATCGCATTGCCTCAAGCAGACCTACCAAAGGATGCTACCTTTCTTTTTTTTAGTGCCAGACAGATAAAATTGAGGTTTTTGGAACTGTAACTCAAAATAAAGGTCTTGCAAACCAGCAAGAAGCTATCTGTCCCAATTTTGTCCTGCCTTACGCTTCCATATAGGAGGCAGCTCTGTGATTCCTCCTGCAGACAGCACAGCAGCGCAGAGGACCCATGTATGCATCTCTCTCACATGGATCTTAAACTTCCCGTGTCTCACGGAGGTAACGGTGAGGGTACGTGTTTCTGGCCAGCTAGGAGAGAGCCATTACCTCCAACAGCCAGTCGCTAGATAAGTCAGGGATCCCCCAAGACAGCCTGAACTGCAGGCACAGTGTCCATATCAAAGTCCATTCTCCAGAAACAGATTTCCAGGGCTGTACAGAGACACCAGGAGACACTTTGCTGTTTCTCTGTCAGAGGGTGTTTTGAGGCCTCAGCACCACACTGGGGAGCAGGAGAAAGCAGCCACAGGGGAAACTCTCCTCCCCCACCGCTGCGAGGATAAGCAAGAGCTGAGCACAATTCCCTCCTTTGCCTGTATACCTGGGGGGCCCTGATACCCCCTGCAAAATGACATGAGTAAGTGCGATGCCCCAACCACTCCGCACTCACACGCACACACTAACACTCTGGAAAATTGCTACTGAGGGGCCAGTGGAAAAGTGTTCAATAACTGCACAGTTCAGGGAATTTTCTAAGTCTCCCCTTTCCCAAACTTCAGTCTGGCTGCACAGGCATTTGCACAGGCTGAACTGCAGCGAGAAAACTCATTTCTGGACCTAGCACCCAGCTGGCAATGGCTGAAGGTGTTGGAGAGCACGTGGGTCATGGCAGGAGGGAGCAGGACTGAGGGAAAAGCCACAAATTCACTGCTGCCTTCTCATTTGATGAAGTCAAGCTTGCACGACACCGAATGGGTGCTACAAAAAGTGCACCCAGCCACGTGTCCTCATCTCAGATTTATCGGAAAGATCCTAAAACAGCTACTCCACATGTCGAGATGGGGTTTTGCTGGGGGAGGGGTGCAGAGAGTGAAGCATAACATGTATTTTCCACTGGCTCCTGTTACACACCGGACATTTTACAAACATCATCCCCCTGAGTCTAGCCAAGACCTACTCTGAGGCATTCAGGCACGCAAGAACAGCATGGTGGAGACACGACGGACTCGTGACGGAAACACATTGCGCTGAAAGGAAGAAGTTTGACATTACCAGTGCAGCAGTAGCAGGGCTCAGCGCTCCTCTTTCTTTCTATGAGATGCAGAGCACAGAAGAGCACGTAGGCAGCGTGTAAGAACCAGATCACACAGTAATTCTCCTTGCTTCAGTGAGTGCTTTGCTATAGACAGGATTAACAAGTAAAGGTAATATTTCCCCACTAGAAGGAAAAATAAAATAAAAAAAAGGAGGGCAGATGCAAAGGGAAGGACAGACAAGAAAAAGAGAAAAGCAATTGTCAAGACAGCAGAGAAATAAGACTGTTTTCCTACTCTACTTCTGGCAGAATTAATACATATTCTGCAACTGTCTCTATTCCGTGTTGCCACTCACCCTCAAGAGATGCATCCAGTGGGTTTACTACCACTGGCCACTTTGCCTCTCCCTCACACAGCTTGTTAGAGGCATGCAGAAGGAGAATGTTTCTTTTCCGAATCAAGTAGTCTTACTTTGCTAACCTACATCTGACTGATGGATGTGTCCAGGACTTGTATACCCTGTGTACTGGATGTCACTCCCACCCCAACTTTGCTCAAGGGATGCGTCTGAAAAAAAACCACATTTGCTTCAATAATTTTTGTGAGGGTTAACTTTAGAGCACACAGACAGCCCTACAGCCCTAGCACTGGAGGACAGGACCAGAGAAGAGGAGGAGCCAGCAACGCAGGGCAATGCAAGCCAGCATGCACCATCGCAGCAGCAGCGGGAATTCCAGCCGGGCTTTGGACACTGTCTGCCTTTATGGGCGCCGGCACAGCTCCATGTGATCGGGCCCCTCGCTTTTCTTACCCTCGAACACCACTGATGGGGAAATAGTAGCCCCAGCTGCACCGCCAGCTCTTTGCAGTGGAGATGTCTGCTGGCCACCACAAGTGGTGCCCCCAGACCATGGGCAGCCAGCTCTCCCCAGTCCTCCACAGAGCTGGCCAGTGAGCTAACACCTGGCTGGGAAAGCAGCAGCCCCCACTGCAGGATCACTGCTGGAAGCCACATCGCACCCTCACTTCCGAGTCACGCTCAGAAACAGGGAGGCACGCTGCTCTGCCACCTTCACCCGCCTGCACCCCAGAGACCGGTGGGGACTGTGGCTCAGGCAACCTTCTGGCACCAGTGACTTGCACAGACAAAACGCTGCACGTGCAAGGAAATGCAGCCTGGAGGATGAAGGGCTGGGGCTGGCCCCACGTTGCCGGATGGCAGCGGCACCAGCCGCTCTTTGCATTACACAGGAAGGGTTTGCCTCACAGGGCTGAGTCGTAGGGCACAGCGTGCCAGTCCACATGCTGCAGAAACGCCTGGTGCCCTCAGCAATGTGGCCAACGGGCCACAAGCACAGCCAGCCACAGGCACCGGAGCATCTCGGCTGCCATGCTTGGGAGCTACTGCTAACTCCCCACAAAACACTTTTGCCCAGACCTCGGGCACCCTGGAAATGAGCAAAGTAAGAGCAACAGTAGTAATGGAGTATTGGTTTTCTCTCTAGAAAAAGGTTTCCCCTTACTTTCAGTTCTGTGAGGAAATTTATCACTTGGGCGACCATTTTAAATACTCATGGTGTTTGATACGCCCAAACACATCAGCTGCTCTGCAAATTTAAGGAGTTACATTTAAAGAAGCGTGTTATTTCACCTCAGTTTTTACAGAGCTAAGAAAACAGGATATAAATACATATCTAAGAAAGAAACTGCACAGTGAGATTGTCCAGCCGTCGGCCTCTGCTGGGCCTCTCAGGACTGCATCTGCCCTTTCACGCTGCAGCCCATGCAAATGCCTACACATTTTAAGCTTTTCCAAGTGTGACCAACACCCATTTATTTAACCACCGTTATGGTATAAATTAGCACAGCTTGTTTGGAGAGAAACATGCTTCTTTTTTTTTTTTTTTTTTTTTTTTTTTTTAAAAAAGGTTT